TCAGAGAGGAAGAGAGAGGGATAGAGAGAAAGAAACATCAGTGATGAGAGAGAACCATTGATCAGCTGCCTCCTGCACGCCCCCTATTGGGGATCGAGCCCACAACCCAGGCATGTGCCCTTGGCCAGAATCGAACCTGAGACCCTTCAGTCCGCAGGCCGACACTCTAACCATTGAGCCAAACCAGCTAGGGCTCAGTCCAGAATTCTTGGCAGCCTGAGGTGGTATCCCCCAAAGAGCGGAGCGCCCCACCATCAGGCAGGGACAGCTTTCATCCCTGCCCCCTCTGCCCTTCGTCCCACAGCACTGACGCTCCGCTTCCCCGTCTCCAACCTCCCAGGGACACACTCAGGACACCAACACCTACTTCCTGTGCCGGACACTGCGCTCCCTGGGGGTCCAGGTGTGCCGCGTCTCTGTCGTCCCCGATGAGGTCGCCACCATCGCGGCCGAGATCACCTCTTTCTCCAGCCGCTTCACTCACGTCCTCACGGCGGGGGGCGTCGGTCCCACGCATGACGACGTGACCTTTGAGGCGGCGGCCCTGGCCTTCGGGGAGGAGCTCAAGCCACACCCCGAGCTGCAGGCCGCCATCAGAGCCCTCGGAAAGCAGGGCTGGGAGAAGCTGACGCTGGTGCCCTCCTCCGCCCGCCTGCATTACGGCACGGACCCCCACACGGGCCGCCCCTTCAGATACCCTCTGGTCTCCGTCCGCAACGTGTACCTCTTCCCGGGCATCCCCGAGCTGCTGCGGCGGGTGCTGGAGGGCCTGAAGGGGCTGTTCCAAAACACGGCCGTTCGGTTCCACCTGCGGGAGCTGTACGTGGCCGCCGACGAGGCCTCCATCGCCCCCATCCTGGCCGAGGCCCAGGCCCACTTTGGGCGCCGGCTTGGCCTGGGTTCCTACCCTGACTGGGGCAGCAACTACTACCAGGTGAAGGTGACCCTGGATTCGCAGGAAGAAGAGCCCCTGGAGGAATGCCTGGCCTACCTGGCCGCACGTCTGCCTCCGGGGTCACTGGTCCCCTACGTGCCCAACGCCATGGAGCTGGCCAGTGAGGCTGTTTACAAGCTCGCCAAGTCAGGTAGGGGCCTGGGGGGGGAGTGGCGGGCAGAGGTACCAAACCACAGGTGCCATCCTAGGTCTCAGGAAAGCAGGGGCTTTGGAGGCTCCCAAAAACCCAGGAGAAAGTAGAAAATGATGACAATTCACTCACTCTTCCAATAAATATTGAGTGCATACCCGCTTTCACCAGCACTGTGCTGGGTGCTGGGGAGACAGTGCAATAGGACAGCCAGACTCCCACTCCATGGACAAGCAGTTTAGCAGGAAAGGTAAACTTTAAGCAGGTATTATGTGTGAGATGTCCGTGTGAGGAGGACTGCACAGCAAGGAGGTCAGCCTCGATCTGGGGTCAGAGAAGGCTTCTCTGGGCAAGTGGTGTGTAAGCTGCATGGTACGGAGCGTCTGGCCAGACCAGGAGCGGGGCCAAGCACACAGCATGAGAAAGGAGGTTTAGGAGAGAGCGAAGAAACCAGGATCCCGGAGGGGGAGACGCTGAGCGGCCATGTGGCTGGATGGCAGGCGGGGAGCACTCTGCCGGCCTAGTGGGCAGCATGAAGGAATCTGGACGTTATCCTAGAAACACTGGGAACATATGGATTTTAAGCAAGGGCATCATGGCTGCAGTTACCTTTTGACGGCCATATGTGTCACATGGGGTGGATAATGGCCTCCTCCCTACTTGTCCGGCAGGCTCTTCTCTAGGGAAGAAGGTGGAGAGTGCCCTGCAGACCATTGAGACCGCCCTGGATCGGTACCAGCTCAGCCAGCTCTGTGTGGGCTTCAACGGGGGCAAGGACTGCACGGCCCTCCTGCACCTCGTCCATGCAGCTGTGCAGAGGTGAGCCTGTCCCGGGGACGAGGCCCCGAGATACCAGGACACCTGATGTGCCCCGTTCTCCAGTTCCCCATCCTGGGAAGCAGCAGGGAAAAGCGGTGTCAGGGTGGGAGTTGGTCATAGTGACCTCTCCGTTCCATTCCACCCTTTTTATTGAGTATCTGCCACCTGCGGGGCCCTGCATGTGGAAGGGCCTGGGCCTGCTGAGGAGGTGAGGTTTGCCCACCTGAGACAGGGGTGTGTGCCCCAGGTCGGAGAGGTGAGAGATCAGGGTGGGCTTCCTGGAGGAAGCAGGTTCTGATGGATGGGAAAGACAAGGAAAGGGTGTGCCTCCCAGGAGCCGAGGAGAACAGTGCATGCTCTCGCGAGAGCATCCCCTTGCCTGTGCTGGCCAGCCTGTGGTTTTCTCCCCCAGGAAATGCCCTGACACTCAGGAACCCCTCCAGATCCTCTATATCCGCACCGTCTCCCCTTTCCCTGAACTGGAGCAGTTTCTGCAGGACACCATCAAGAGGTAGGAGGGGCCTGAGGGTTTGGGCTGGAAGAGGGGTTTGGAGAAGCCCGTGTGTGACACCCCCTCCCCCCGCCCTCTTCCTTCCTCAGGTACCATCTGCGGGTGCTGGAGGCTGAGGGCGAGATGAAGAAGGCCCTGAGCCAGCTGCGGGCACAGCACCCCCAGCTGGAGGCCGCGCTGATGGGCACCCGCCGCACAGACCCAGCCTCCTGCAGCCTCCATCCCTTCAGCCCCACCGACCCAGGCTGGCCCCCATTCATGCGCATCAACCCGCTGCTGGTAATGCCGTCATTCCGTGCCCCCTGTCAGGCGTTCACCCGGCTTCTGTAGGTAGGGTCATGGGAGCCGGGGGCTCGGAGGAAGGGGCCTCGTCATCCAAGGAAGACTGGATGACCAATTTTTTTTAAGTGTGATTATGGTATTCAGTATTTTTTAAAATATATCTTATTGATTTTTTACAGAGAGGAAGGGAGAGAGATAGAGAGCTAGAAATGTCGATGAGAGAGTAACATTGACCAGCTGCCTCTTGCACACCCCTATCGGGGATGTGCCCTTGACCAGAATCTTTCAGTCCGCAGACCGACGCTCTACCACTGAGCCAAACCGGTTTCGGCCTTTTGACCAATTTTTATTGAGCCCTCATCCAGCGGCAGGCATTGTGCTTTTTTTTTTTTTTTTTTTTAAATATACTTTATTGAGCCGAAGCCGGTTTGGCTCAGTGGAAAGAGCATCAGCCTGCGGGCTGGAAGGTCCCGGGTTCGATTCCGGTCAAGGGCATGTACCTTGGTTGCGGGCACATCCCCAGTGGGGGGTGTGCAGGAGGCAGCTGATCGATGATTCTCTCATTGATGTTTCTAAATCTCTATCCTTCTCTCTTCCTCTCTGTGAAAAATCAATAAAATATATTTAAAATATATATATATATATATATATATATATATATATATATACTTTATTGATTTTTTAAAGAGAGGAAGGGAGAGGGATAAAGAGTTAGAAACACTGATGAGAGAGAAACATCAGATCAGCTGCCTCCTGCACACCCCTACCGGGGATGTGCCCACAACCAAAGTTCGTGCCCTTGATCAGAATCGAACCTGGGACCCTTCAGTCTGCAGGCTAACGACACTCTATCCACTGAGCCAAAGCGGTTTCGGCGCATTGTGCTTTTTGCTACGGACAGAACAGTGACTTAGACCTGTGCTGTCCAATATGGTAACCGTTAGCCATCTGCTTATATTCAAAGCCTGGAAGCCAGATGACTGAATTGGACATCTTAAAAGGGTGAATTTCGGTGGCGTGTGACTTATATCTCAGTTTTAAGAACTAAACACAATTCAGAAGTAGTTCTTCATTTGCACTGGCCACAGAGGAAGTGCCCACCACATTAGACAGCGCAGCAAGAGAACATTCATCACTGCAGAAAGTTCTGCTGGTCAGCTGGCTTCCACAGACACAGCCCTTCCTGTCCTCGGGAGCTGCCCTGCCAGGGGAGGGTGGGCCGGGAGTGGAGAGGGACAGGATGCAGGTCTCTCTCTCTCTCTCTCTCTCTCTCTCTCTCTCTCTCTCTCTCTCTCGTTGCGTGGCTCACACAGAGCCACACGTACCATCCAATCAGATAACGGTCCCTGGGAGGCCAAGGGAGCAGAGGAACCCCGCAGGGCACCCTCCCGGGCAGCAGAGGGCAGAGCGGGAGAGGGCAGTGTTAGTGACTCTTGTCCCACTCTGCCCTCCCAGGACTGGACCTACAGAGACATCTGGGACTTCCTGCGGCAGCTGTTTGTCCCATACTGTATCCTGTATGACAGAGGGTAAGGGCGTGGGGAGGGCGTGGTGTGGAGAAACATGGAGGTGCTGAGATAGGGGGAGCGCCTGCCTCACACACACACACCCTCTGTTCCCCCGGCTCCAGCTACACATCCCTGGGGAGCCGGGAGAACACGGTGCAGAACCCAGCCCTGAAGTACCTGGGCCCCGGAGGCCAGCCCACCTACCGGCCAGCCTACCTCCTGGAGAATGAAGACGAAGAACGGAACTCCCGCATGTGACCGCCCGCCACGCCTGCGGGCTCCAGAGGAGACAGGAGGAGGCTGCCCTGCCCGGGGGTGTGACCGCTCAATAAACAGCCTCTCCTCTCCGAGCCTGTGTCTTCCTGCGGGGATGGGGGGAGCAGAGTGGGCCAGGCCCCAAGCCTGGAAAGGCGCTCCTGTTGGTGATTCTGACCGAATGCCAACCACCAGGGGGCAGAGGCAGGGAGGTGTGCCAACCACTGGGGGTACCAGCAGCCAGGCAGGGCACCCAAGGTTTCTAGGCTCGGGCTGGAGGGAGGGAAGCGGGGCTGGCCTGGCTGTGGAGGATGAAAGATGGAGTGGCCAGCTCCTCCTCCTCCTCCTCCCAGCCCCTCCCCTCCTCCATGGCTGCGCAGAGGGGCTGACTCAGCCCATTCTCAGGCCCAGAACCTTCCCTGTGTCAGACCCTGGGGCCTTTGTCCCTGCAGTCATGAGGCCGGGAGGGGGGGCGGGGGGTGGTGTTGATAAAAGGTGCCAGGGGCAGCTCCCACGCCCTTCCTCAGAGCTGCTGCCCACATGCAGGCCCGGACTCGGCCCCTCGCCCAGGCGCCACCTTTCTCCCTCCCAGGGGCCCCGCCAGACGCTGGGCGCCGGGTGCCAGTTGTGCAGACGGGCACCAGGTGGGAGGGCCTGCAGCACACCCTGAGGGCGGTGGCCTACGTCCTTCTGTGCTGCTGGTGCGTCAAGCAGCTGCTGGATTAATGGCAGCGGGAAACGCCTCGTTCAGGTGAGCAAGGCAGGACGGACAGACAGGAGGCATGGCTGCTGCTGCTGCTGCTGCTGCTGCTGCTGCTACTGTGGCCGAAACTGTCAGCTTTCCGTTCTCTTTAGTGCCAAGCTCAACCCCCATGGAGACTCCCAGGGCCAGCTGCATTTGACCAAGGATGGGCCACCCACAGGGAGTGAAGAGTGGATCCAGCTCTGGGTCAATGCCATCTGTGTCAGACCTGCCTTGTCGCCTGGCCTCCGTTTCCTGCCCCCACCTCTGGTGGGCCCCTGGGGCGAGGGACCTTGGCCTGCTGGCTAAGACTGCAGCAGGACCTGGCACTTCTCCAAGCCTGGCACAGGGAGCCCACCAGCCCAGATGGCTGATCTTACCATATCCTCTTAGTGCCAGGAATGGGCTGCCCCCTAAAATCTCGGTTTGGGAACCACTGCGCTGTATGTATAATAAATAGGCCTTGGGCCTAAAGGTTCCACATGTCAGAAAAAGCACTGCAAGGGACTTGGAGCCCGGGGGCTGAGCAGGGAGGGGAGGAGGTTGTCCTAGATGGAGCCGAGGCGGCAGCCAGGTTTCCTGACTCACTAGGGTCTGAGTGGTAGGGTGAACAGGCCCAGCTCCTCCCAGCCTGTGGGGAGGGAGGGGTCTGGCGGGGGCGGGGTATTAGGATGGGAACTCCAATAGAAGACCCGGCTGGCCAGCTCCTGCCTCTGTGGGCCTTGGTGAAAGCCCTGGGCTGATGCTGGTCCCCAGCTCACAAAGCTGCAAGAAGCAGGCACCGGGGTGGCCACACCGGGCCCTGAGGCTCATCACAGGACACACACAGCCAGAGGAGCAGAATGGGCTTCCCCTCCCCTGGCAGCCACCACCAATCGCTTTCCCAGAATCCCTCCCAGCGGGTACCCATGAACTACTTCCGATGTCTTGCTCACGCTCATTCATGCGTTCGGACATGTCCATTCACAGCCCCCTACACGCTCAGAGCCAGCTAGAGGACAAAGCGCTCCTGGGGGGTCTCTACCCTCATTCCCTAGCCCCTCTGGGGGCCCGGTTATTGCCCCCCTCGTTCTCTCCTGGGGAACTGGCCTGGAGATGGTGTATGGCACCCTCCCCCAACTCCCAGGCACCAGCCTTCTTCTCCCAGGCACCAGTTCACTCCTTTTCCCCTGGGATTACTTTATTTTTATTTTTTTTTAATTTTTAAAAAAAAATATTTTATTGATTTTTCACAGAGAGGAAGGGAGAGAGAGTGCCTGAAACGTCAATGAGAGAGAAACACTGACCAGCCGCCTCCTACACACCCCCCACCGCAAATGTGCCCGCAACCAATGTACATGCATTTGACCGGAATCGAACCCGGGACCTTTCAGTCCGCAGACCGACGCTCTACCACTGAGCCAAACCAGTTTCAGCTGTTTTTATTTTTGTAAAGGTACCATATGCCTAGAGTAAAGGACTCTAAATAGTAAAAGGTAAAACTCCCTCCTACACTGACCCTCCCGCCCTCGGCTCTCCTCCCTGGAGGTAACCATGGTTACCAGTTTCTTGGAGAGCAGTATAGAGACAGTCTATGCATATATTGCATATTCATTCACTTGACAAATATTGAGTACCTACCGGTACTATATACCATTCTCCTTCGTGGCAGCATAGTACTTCAACTCAAGATTATTTCTTATCTCTGGCAGCTCATCCCCCCTCTGTAGGCACCCACAGATCTTCCTCTTCTGAACTGGTGCTGGGGCTGATGGCCTAGGTGACCTGCGGGGCAGGGCCAGGCACGCAAAAGTGGGGAGGGGACTGCTCCCCAGATTCTGCACCCACTCAATGCTTTCCAGCTTCCTCTCACACCTAAGCCCCCCTGGCCCACGGGGTCCCCAGCTTCCACGTTGCCACCCAGTCCACACAGGCCTGCGCCTCCCACTCCTCCAGCGGGAAAAGGAGATGTGCAGCCCCTTCCCCGCAATGCTCTCCAATCAGAGTGAGCTCAGGTTCTGAGTGTCCACACTGCTCTCCGGAGCTCCCTAGAGGGTGGGCGGGGAGAGGGGGAGGGAATGAAACAGAGGGCCAACTTAGGATAGGTAAGATCTCCCTACCCCTCTGCGCCCTGGGACCCTCCAGTGGCCACAGGACGCCAGCCTGAGGAGGAGGAGGGCATGACACCAGAATTCCCAGCTGATTTCATGGGACTTAAGGCTGTCAGTGGTGCAGGAAAGACAGGTGGAGGAGAGAGGCCACAGCAAAGTGGTCTGAGGAGCCACACGCCATAAACTGGATTATTTTTTTAAATATATTTTATTGATTTTTAGTATATGTGCTGCCGAAGCGAGCACATATTTTATTGATTTTTTACAGAGAGGAAGGGAGAAGGACAGAGAGCCAGAAACATGGGTGAGAGAGAAACATCGATCAGCTGCCTCCTGCACACCCCCTACCGGGGATGTGCCTGCAACCAAGGTACATGCCCTTGACTGGAATCAAACCCTGGACCCTTCAGTCCGCAGGCGGACGCTCTATCCACCGAGCCAAACCGATTTCGGCCTTACACTGGATTATGATAGTGGTGATCTTGAGAGGCTCTATGTCATTATCTGAGTGGTGGTGGGCTCACCAGCTCCAGAGCGCAGACCCTCCTCCCGTCCCCTCCTCCCCCCTCCCTCCCCCCCCCCCCCCCCCCCGCCAAAGGCAAAGGCTCTTATTTGCATCACGTTTGCATATGAGATATTTCCCCTTCCAGAGGCAGAAGCCGCAGCCCCTTTCTCAGTTACTCCCAACTGAGGCTCTGCGGCCTCCAGGCTGTCCGGACGGACGTCCCCAAACCCATCCTTCCGGCCATTCTCTGGGCGCCCTGACCTCCAGCCCGCAGGACCCTCCCATACTCCGCCCGCACCCTTACCTATCCCAGCTCCCAGGCAGCGCCCCCCCCACCCCCCCACCCCCGATTCTTCACTGGGTCCCCGGGCCTCGGGGACCTGCGCCGCCTGGTGGCTGGCTGGCGGGAGGCTGAGAGCAGAGGGAAGGATTCTGATTCGCCTACCCGGGGACGTGGAGTTTTGGAAAAAGTTCCCCCCGAACTTCCTGGAGCTAAATTTATCTCCCCGGGCCCTGGGGGGCGCAGAGATCCCCGCGACGATTAGCGTGGCGAGGCAGCCCGCTGCTCCCGCCCGCCGGCGCGCACCGGGCGCCGGGTTATAAATAGCGCCGCCCGCAGGGGTGGGGGAGCCGGCGGGAGGGGGGCAACCCTCGCCGCCGCGGCCCCTTCAGGTGGGTTGGGCGGTCGCGGTGGGGCGCCGGGGGGCGGCGAGCTGGGGGCGCTGCGGTCTGCGCGCCCCCGGCGGTTTCCTGGGCGGCGGGTTTTTCGAGGGAAGCGGGGGCCGCGGGGGGAAGCGGTGGGCGCCGGGCACGGGCTGACGCTCCGGAGACTCACTGCGCGGCCCCCCACATTCCAGAACGCGCCCCCAGACCCACTCACTGCCCCCCCCCCAGGCAGAACCCTGGCCCCCCCCCCCAGGCAGAACCTGGCCCTCCGCTGGCTCCTCCGGGCTCTGAGCATTACGTTCCTCTGCCGATGCCCTTGGAGCACGTGGCCCGGCAGCCGGCACCCCGCTTCGCAGCCGCCGGCGGCCCCGGCTGCAGGCCTCCCCAGGAGGGCTCACTCCCAGCGGGGCCGTCCTCCTTCTCTGCGGCCCAGCCCTGCATTCTCCGGGTGCTTGCCCACCTCCTGCTGCTTTCCCCCCAAAATCAGTCCCTAGCTGGTCGCCTGCAGATCTAAGTTAGAACGTGCGATCGGGGACGCTCCCCTATCCCCAGGAGGCCCAGCACCTGCCCTCCAGCTCCCAGTTCCAGGCAGGGCCCGGGGGCCGGGCGGGGGTGGCGGAGGCCCCAGGGGCCCAGCCCGCTCTCCGGGGGTGGGGGTGGGGGTGGGGGTGGGGGAGGAAGGGGCAGGGCCCGGCCCCCGCGGCGTTTCCCGGCCGCTGCCGTCTTCTTCGTGGCTCGGTGCGTGGAGGGCCCGGAGTTGGGGAGTAGGCGGGAATTTCAAGTCGGGATTTCCCCCCACCCCCAACCCCCAACTTCTGGGCCAGGAAGGGAGATAGATGTGCGGACCAGACGAAGGGGAACGTGGGAGAGCCGCTGAAGGACGCTCCGGAGGTCCCAGGACTGTCCAGCGGCGAATGGCATTTCGACCCCGAAAGATCCGAGCTGGGCCCGGTCTGACGGCGGACACAGCCCCGCAGGGAAGAGGACGGGGCGAGCCCGAGGCGCCCGGCGCCCCTCGCTTATCTGTGCCCAAGGGCTGGTGCCAAGTAGGGCGCCCGCCCTCCCACTGCCCGCGGAGGCCCTGGTGCTGCTCTCCCCGGGGCACATCCCCGCCCTCCGTCCCCTCGGCCGTGCCCCTTCCTCCCCGAAGCAGCCCCCTCCCCGTGGCACTGGTGCATCGGGCACTGCCCCCTCGCCCCTGGCACCGCCGCTCCCCAGACCAGCGCGACCCCGACGGCGGGCAGAGGGAGGGGAAAGCCCGGCCTGGACCCCACGGACCGGGCCCTCCACACCCGAGTCTGACCGGCGGGGCTGGGAAGAAAACCCGGAGCAGTGACCAGCCTCGGGACCCAAGGGAGACAGGGACGAGAGGAAAACGCGGAGCGGATTGCCCTAGCGGGAGCGCCCCAGACCTGCTGCCGCCGCCCCCCCTCCTTCCTAGAGCCCCCCTAATTCTCCAGTGAGATAATGTCTGGGGTGGGGGGCTGTTTGGCTTGGCCTGGGCCCTCAGGGGCGCCTCACACTTTCCGCCCCTGGCAGGGACACGGCGGCAGCTCGGAGGCTGAGTCACGGCCGAAAGAGGAGGGAGGGGCCGGGACTCTGTCCCTCCCCTGCGCGGGGATCTCGGGTCAGCCCGGGTGAGGGCCAGGGCCACACTGGCACCGCCCATTGTGGTCCAACAGGTTGAGCTGGTGCCCCGCGGAGCCACCTGCTGGAGAGGGAG